CCCCCCCCCCCGGCACTCACGTGGGACACTCCACCTACCCCACCATCTCGGCATTCATGAGCTGCACCTGGTACCTCGATGTATGTAGACATGGATATAAAGCTGTGTCTATGGCCAAATTGTCGAATTGAATTCGATTTGATTCAGAGAGATTAATGGGTCTGTTGAGTTTGATTCAGAGATTTGGCCACCGAATCAGGCCAAATCGGTGACTGAAACTTCGCACAGCCCTAATAAATGCCTAATTGTGGCATATTGTATTTCAAATAGTCTAACGGTTGGGAGGTGTTTCTTAACAGGAAGAAAATAGTAGATTGGAGGACGAATTGCACAAATCTGAAGCAGGATTTTCAAAAAGGTTAATTGTAACACAGCAGGTATGAAACATCCCTTAATAATTAAAAAATTAACCTTGAAGCTGTGGGGCTAAACCTACGCCAAATTCATGTTAAAAATATAACTCCTACACAAACAGAAATCAGCATGTGGTATTTTCAGGCTTTGGCAGAAAAAAGTAAGGACCTGGATAAACTGCAAAATGAATGGACAGCACAGACTACTTCACTGACTAACAAGTACACCCAGGAAATCACAGCAGAAAAGGAAAAAGTGCTGCAAGTAAGTAGAAGTACTTCTTGATAGCTCATGAGAAGCAGCACCTACATGGCTTACATACAGAATACTGCATACCTGTAGAATGAGTAGTGCTTGACTTCTGAAGGAATTGTTTCCTCTTTCTGAAAAAAGCATTTCTCTGAGTGGTGGTGAAATATTTAAATGTTGAATTGTAATATTGCCTGTGGTTTTCATGAGTCTGATGCATGTTTTTCTTTTCACTAGCTTTTAAGTCGCCTATAAATTGCTGCCTGTATAGTGCATTTACATGACTTTACTAATATCCTTGTTTTTCTGTTTAAGATTCAAACACAGTATCAGCTTCAGCAAGAACAACAAAAGAGAGAGATAGAAGCAACTTACAACAAAAGAGTACATCACTTAGAAGTCAGGGTATCTGAATTAGAAATGGTTAATAAGGACCTTACAGAAAGAAAATACAAGTCTGAGTCTTGTATACGGGAGTTGAAATCTAAACTTTCAGGACTTGAAGAGGTATGGTAGACAGTTGGTCATTTTAACTTTTTTGTTCTTGTTACAAAGAACACATATTTTGGGGGTTTTTTTACATAATGATACAAATTGTGAATATGCCTACATTTGAAGAGCAAATACTTCTGACATTTAGTCCTAAACACCACCAGACTATTGAAGCATCAGCTAAACGATATTACTGATATATGAGGAGGTCAGATTGCCACAGGCCACAATGTCTTGACCAAAAATTTCTTACAGTGAGGTCAGAACCTTTAAATAGTGTTTTCAGACTTCTGGACACTAAACTGTGCACCATGGATAAATAGCAAGGGACACTAACATGCCCCCAGTGCCTAAGGACTCTGTGCTGGCAATAAATTGAGATAGCCAGATAAACAATGGGCATAGAATCCTAGAAAATTAGGGTTGGAGGGGACTCAGGAGGTCATTTAGTCCTAACACCTGCTCAAGGCAGGATCATCCCCAGTGAGATCATCTCAGCCAAGGCTTTGTTCAGCCTCGCCTTAAACATCCAAGGATGGAGATTCTACCACCTCCTATAGGCAGCCCATTCCCATGCTTTATCACCTTCCTTGTGAGAGTTGTTTTCCTAATATCCAACCTAAACCTCCCTTGCTGCAACTTGAGACCATTGCTCCTTGTTCTGTCACCTGCCACCACTAAGAACAATCTAGCTCCATCTTTAGAATTACCCTTTGGGTACTTAAAGGCTGCTATCAATTCCTTTCACAGTCTTCTCTTCTGCAGACTGAATAGACCCAGTTCCCTTAGCCTCTTCTTTAGAAGTCATCTGCCCCAGCCCCCAAAACATTTTTGTTGCCTTCCACTTCACTCTCTTCAACTTGTTCACATCCTTTCTGTAGTTCGGGGCACAAAACTGGACACAACACTCCAAATGTGGCCTCACCAGTGCAGAATAGAGTGGAATAATTACTTGCCTCGATCTGCAAGCATTTGCTTGCCCACTGAGATTGAGGAAGATGGAAAAACCCTGAGGATCCCTGCCAGTATGACCCTCAGCATGTAAGCAAGATGAACTCAGCATGAATCTTTTCGGAGGTACCATCTTGGAGATCTTGTCTAACCCAATATTATCACATCTTTGATGGTGTAACAATGTAGCTTGGTTTCTCAGTGTAGCTGTGCCAGCTCATAAAAGCTGAGAACCTGGTCCTTCTAGTGACTTTTAGGATGAGGTCTGTAGGCTCCTTTTTGAAAACCTCCAACCTAAGGTAATTTCAGAATTACTTTGGATCTATACAAGTCCTGCATGTACAAGGAAAAAAAGAAATCAGTGTATCATGTTAATTTCCAGGAAAAATAATTCCTGGTTTAAATACAGTTGATATGGAAATCTTTCCTCTGGAGCACGTGGATGCTGTCCAATTACTGATCCATAATTGTATATTTGTTTCTCAATTATGCAAATTTCTGCACTCTAGCTGAGGGAGATCTGATTTGCATAATTACTGTATAGCTATTGCTTTTGCTGATTAACTTCCAGCAATTATCTGAATCCCCCTCCTGTAACTGGCTACTGTTCTGAGTGCCCCACTCTAAGTCCATATCACACCTCTTTTGCCTCAACAGTGACCATTGCTTCATCTATACTCAGTTACTAAATGCCATTTAAGAAAAATTGCTTGAGGAGGGGCCTTTATGACAGTTGGACATGTTTTTTTAGGTTGATAGACTGATAGCTACCCAAGTTTTTCAAAGATTCTGGACCTACATTGCTTGTAAGAAGTGGGATTGTCATTTGCATGTTTTAAAACACTTAAGAAAACATATTTCCAGGCAAACTACTATTAAACGAGACTAGAAATAAATCGATATATGATCAAGTCAACAAGCTAATTTGTATTTCTGAATTGAGCTTATACCACCGAATTGGCTAAATGTATCAAAGTGATAGTAAAATAATCAAGTCTTATAAAGGCTAAGGTTTCAAGGAAGGTAGCTGGATTTATAACCAAATGGGCACCTAACTAAACTTTTTTTATCAGTTAATCAAATCTACAACCTCAAGCTGTTTTAGTCTTAATGTTGTACCCAAATTTTACCTTTTTTGAGTTCTGAAATTTTTAAATCTGAGAGCCTATTGTAGATCTTCCTCCTTAAGTGTAAAACTGTGTGTGGTGACTGCCCCACACTTTCTCCCCTCCCCCCCCAAAGACGGACTATAATGCAGACCTTAACAGTACAGCCTTGATGAGCAGAAATTTGTCAATGTGTAGTCACTAGCAATGGCCGGTGATATTCTAAAAAATTCCCAGGACTTAGAAACATATACTATGCGCTAATGAGTATTGTAACAAAACAACAATTAAGGCTACTTTAAAATCTGGAAACTTATTAGCATCTTCCCTGTTGTGACCATTTTGGGTGCTTGGTAGCTTCTGTGTGGGCATCTGCACACATTGTACATAAAATTGCATTTTCACTTTTTGCTACTTAAAGAGGAAAGTGCAGCATTCCAGCCTTGCCATGTGGGTAGGCTGCGTAGCAAAAGCTGACTGTACTACAATAAGTTTGCTGTGTAGGAGAGATGGCCAAGCAGCCTAAGAATAAGTGCTGCAAGCAGCTGGGTTAGGCTGCAGTAGAGAAGGGCAGGCTGGTCATAAGGGGAAGCTAGGGAGCCATGTGATAGGAAGGGGTGGGACATTGGGGTACATAAACCAGTGCCTGATGCCAAGTAGATGGTCTGGGCTTGTGTGCTCCAGGGAGAGAAACTCCTGAGAGAAGGGTTACAAGAGGCAGCACCCAAGCCATCCAAGAGATCAGGGATGAGAGCTCGAAAGGAAGTACAGCTTGCGGGTGATAGCCCAGAGTAGAGGAGACTTAGTTTGTGAAACAGCTTGTTTGTGTTCATGTTGTGATTTAAGCGTGATACTGGAGGACTGGGTTGTGGCCACTGGCAATGTGTAGGGGGTGCACACAGGTGCATGTGCATCCCAAGATTGACCATGCACCCCCTAGAAGCGCCAGCCATGAAAGCAGAAGTGCAGGCAGAAGTGCACTTCTGGTTTCACCACTGGTGGTTCTGAGTTCACTAATTGGCTGCTGGGGGACCCCGCTGTTGGTGATCTGGTGTCCCCCCAGACTCAGGAGGCACCAGTTGCCTATGGTTCTAGTACAGGAGTGTCTGGTGGGGCACTCTGTAACGGTAATTAGCAGGGAGTCAGAGATCCTGAGGGCTGAGTAAGTTAAGCCAACGTTGGGAGGGCTGAAGCCACAGGGAGTGAAGGCAGTCCCCAGTGGAGTCAGAGACTCGGAGTACTGAAGGATGGTTTAGAGCAGGGGTGGGCAAAGTCCAGTCCATGGTCCTGATCAGGCCTCCAGCAGATTCCATTTCCTAGCAGCTGTGGCCTGTATTGCTGAAGCTGGTTTCCATGGAGGCCCCAGCAGTGGCAGTGCTGTGAGAACGTGGGGCCAGGGTTTCCATGGAGGTTGGTTTCAGCCATGCTGGCAGGAAGCACAGCTTGGTGGGGACCTGTTCCAGGGTTGGGATCTTGCAGCAGTGACAGTGTGGTCTGGGGCTAGGGCAGTGCTGTAACTGACTACCTGCATGGACCTGTCACCACTGCCCCTGTCCCTCAGCCCTGGTTGCGGAGCAGCTCCCTGCCCAGCCATGTGCCCTGTCAGTGCTGCTGGGGCCAGTCTCCCTCAAAACCCTGGCCCCATGTTCTTACGGTGCTGCCGCTGCTGGGGTATCTATGGAAATTGGCCTTGGTGATGTGGACAGGGGCTGCTGGGAAATGGAGTCCAGCCTCCTGCAAGATCTGTGATTTTTTTTTTTTTTGCCCACGACTGGTTTAGAGTTTGAGAGTGTTGGCTAGGGCAAGGGACCTGTAGAATGAGAGATCCAGAGGCCTGGAGCTCATGAGTTTGTGACAGAGGCTGGGGCCCAGAAGCCAAGGTCCTGGGCTGAGGGGTGCAACCAGAATAAAAAGGCCAAGGCTGGGAAGGTTGAATCCTGGACAAAGGTTTAAGTTCTGAGAACCACAAGCTGTGCTGGGGCCAGGGGACCTCCTTCAAATTATTTTGGAGTAACACCTGTGAGGCATGGGTGTGGATATAGGGGTGGATGCAGGTGATGAATAAAGCCCATAAGGCAACTGGTGCCCTGAGGCACTGGTGGGGCCAGGAGGGCTGCAATTTAGTGCCTGAGGGGCATGACTAAGGCCAGCTGGGTATGGGTATGGGTATGGGAAGCATAAGCTAAAGTAAACTGGGGCTCACTCTGTGACCCAGGAGCAGTCTCCCTAAACACTATAAAAGTTCCATCAAGGTGTGGTGGACAAGGTAAAAAAGGAGGGTACCCCCAGGAGCTGAAGTGGAGCAGGAATTCCTTGGCCACCTGGGAGCATCCCTGAGGCGTGGTCTTGCTACACTTCCTAGCACAGAAGAATGTAAAAAGATTGTGACTCTCAAGTTTTATTTTTATGTATTACTAAGTGTGAGTGGGTTAAGTGATCTTATCCTGGATTCTCCTTTGTACTCTCCTGCCACGACTTAGATTAGAAAGAAAAGAAGGGAGATCAGTGTCCTCTGCTGTTCTGGGATAGGCAAATGCCACCCTGATGTTATCTACTCACAATGTTAGGTTTTATTTCCGATAACAGCAATGCAGTTACAGGCTTCTCGCCAATTCTTTCATTGATGAGGATAACCTGAATTACAGCTACGGAAATCCCCAGACTGGTTACTTTGCATACATTCTGTAAAGGGTCTTCACTGCTAATTGCTTCATTAGCGGCTTATGCTTCCTGCGGCTCTCAGTTTCCACTGGTGCTGGATACTAAGAGCAGTTCCCAGTTGACCTTCCTCTCAAGTCTGCCTGACTTATCTCTAATTTCTGTGACCTTGCAGAGATTCAGGCTTGAGGATGGCTCAGATCCTCTCTCTTTTGAGGGACACAGTGTCTCTCTCCTTGCATTGCTGGGGAATCTGCCTCCCGGCACCTCCGTATTTCCCTGCACTCACCAGCACAGCGG